TCTGAAATTCAAAAATAACAAGATTTTGATTCATAAATCCGAATTTTTTATAATGACGTTAGGACAAGGGGTATCATCCTTTTTTATAAATGTCATTAAATAAAGAGCGCAACAAAAATTATAACACTCAAAAATTTTCATTTTCACACCTAATTTCTTGTCATTTCAACTCTTTTGAAGGGGTAACCTATAAACATATAAATTAAAAAGAAGTGAATATTATTATTTCTATATAATAACACAATTATTAAGGAAGAATCTGACGTACAGTCAAAACAAAAGTTAGTCCATTGTCATAATTTCGTAATTTAAAAGATAAATTATAAATTCGTTGTGGTGGAAGTGAGAAGAATTTAATTTTGAACATTTAAAACGATTGAAAGTTGCAGTTGAACAAAAATTACAATTTTCTGTCAATAAGAAACATTTGTTAAATTTTAGGTAATGTTACTTTAATCATTTACTATTGACAAAAAATTATTATTTTTATTCAAATATAACATTAAATTGTTCAAAATGTAGAAAATTAAATTCCTTACGCTTCTACCAAAAGGAATTTGAAATTCAATGTCACCTTCTCTTTTAAAATACGAAATTGTGACATTGAACCAACTTTTGATCCGATTGTTTGTCAAATTCTTCCTTAAAGTGTTGGCAAAATCTTGTAAAGTATGGAAATGCGGCTATTATAATTTTTCGAAAATGCTTTTAGTTTTTATAACAAATTTCTTTTAATTTTTGTAAAATGGGCATAGTTTTTGTCCATATTTTGCCAAACTCTTCCCATAGTTCGAAAAATGTATAAAATTTGTTAGAAAAGTAAAGAATTTCTCAAAAATTGATTCTATCCGTTGCTCATACTTTGCCAGTGATTTTAAAAAAATTTCTTCACCTTGGATCCGACATTTTGTATTTTTTAAAACTATCTTTAAATTTGTAATCAGTGACCCTCAAAAATCTTTGATTAGAACAAATTTTTGACACTCTTAACTAAAGGTATCAAATTGCAACGAATTGATACCAAAAATCTGGATCAAATTAGTAATTGTTCAAAATTTTTGTATTGGATCCACTTTGGTATCAATTTGATACTTTCAAGAAAACTGAGAATACAAAACGGACTTAACATTTATTCTGAACGATTGCAGTAAATTTTTAAATTTACTTTTACAGTAAATTCTTCAAGGTGGAGGCGAAACTTTTTAGAGTTCAAATAATAATAAATAATAATAATTTTGTCAGGACTTCAAGAAAGCTATAATATGGGTCAAAAATCGTCAGACCTAGAAAACTAATTCGTAAAATTTCTTGGACTGTTTCCAGTCGACATTATATAGCCAGAAACGCTTGACCTAGGAAGTTTCCTAAAATTTTCACCAATATACATATAATGTCCTAAGAATGTTTCTAAAAGATCGTTTATTAGAATCTAATTTAAGCAATTAGGTAGGTTCCGTTTAGAAACAGTCTATAGTGAAAAACTAGAGTTTTAGTATAACAGTAACTAGATGTAAATTTAGAAAAAGTATGTTTGTAGAACGTGTCTTGGAATTTACATAAATATCAGTTCTTGCGATATATATATATAAAAATTGAGACACGTTCAAAGTGACCCTTCAAGAATTCCTAATTATTCCGGTTGACCACATTAATAGTGTTGGGAGAAATAAACCCCACGCGAGTTGTGACTTCATCCTTCAACAGGTGTTTATATGGGAAAATACAATAATGATGCGCACGCGCCTAAATTCTGCTTTTACCTTTCAAACTTCTTGCAACTATCCAATAATCAATGACAAGAAGCATATCAGTTTACAATGATTAATTTCGAAATTCGTCATTTCTTTTGGAAATTTATTCTTAAAGTAGGAAAATTAACTCAAAAAGTTTGAAAAATATAAAGTTTTTGGATTTTTTTCGAGTTACCTACATTACCGACATACGGTATCCAAAATGTAGGTAAGAACCAAGCGTCGGGGAGGTAGAAACCAAAGTCACTGTTGGTAAATCCCGCGAACGAGATGTCGACCAGCAGGGGTTGAGATGACTAATTCAACTACCCTCCGACAGATGGGGCGAACGTAGCGAATCAGTATTCTAAAATATCGAAATTTTAAAAAGAATTCAACCCTAAAAGTTCAATTGGAATTCCGACAATAATAATTCCCTTTCGAATTATATTGACTTTCTCATAGATTTTCGTCTATAAACAAAATTATAAATTCTTACGAAACAGAATTAGAAATTATAATTTCCATCGGAAATTATAAGATGAAAATAAAATATCGGAATTCCGATGGTATTTCTTCTTTTAAATTTGATATTGAAATTCAGATAAATTTTTGTCGCTGAAAATTAATAGTAATCGTAATTAAACTAAAATTTCGTCAATGGAAATCAATATTTGAATTCCGATTGTATTTCTTCGACTGAATTTGATATCGGAATTCCGATAGATTTTTTTCGATTAAAATTAATAGCGTAAATCCACCGGAATTTCATTGATGAATATTTAGAGTTGCAAAAAGTAAAATTTGATTTCGTTTTTCCCTAACATTTCCTGATTTTTAGACAAAATTTTTGACATTCTTTCTATTATAGTAAATACAAAAATTCAAGGGGGTTTCAATTACAGAAAAAGATCATTTTCAGGAGCAAGATTTAAGCCTTCGAGGGCATTTTTTAAAAACTAAATTACTTACTGTGGCGAATTTCTTTTGATTATTTTCAATAATTTCAAAAAAATTCCATAAGAATTTATTTATTTAATTGCATTTATAGAAATTTTAATTATTTCAAAAATTTTCAATTAGATACTTAAAAAAACTTAAATCGTTTTAATTTATTTTCTCAGTTTTTTGAACAATTTGTTAAATCTTTTTAAAATTTAGCTAATTACTTAAAATTTTAACTTTAACTCTTTTGATTTTAAATTACTGTTTATGCGATTTGAACACTGTTTTTTACACTAACCAACATGAATATCTTCGATTGCGACTTTTTGTAAAATTCAATTATTTACTAATTATTATTAAATTAATTTTGATAATTCTTTAATAAATTCTTTTCAAAAATTCAAGTACAAAAAGAATTTACTGTTACTTATATCACCCCACTGTTACTAATAACCACATTTGACCTTATCTTTAAAAAATTAATAAATTTTAATTGAATTAAAATTTATCAGAAATATAATTTTTTCGAATTTTAAATAAAATTAATTTAATAAATAGACATTTAATTATTTTTCGACATTTGTTTTGTGATTAATTTCGGGAAAATTGAAATATTTAATTATTATTAGTAATAGTTTTTAAGTAGCAATTGTAATTTTTGAAAACTTTTATTCTATTTATTTATTTAGAGTCTTAACTCTTTTGTACATATTAAGTATACGTTAAATTTTTAAAACCTTTTGAAATTCGATTATTTTTAAAAATTAAAAACGGTTTTTAACTAAAACCTTTCCTAAAAGTTAATTATAAATGATAACTTTAAGAAAGTTATTCTTGAATTTATAATTCTTCAAAATAAATTTAATTCTGTAAAGAAATATACGAAAAAATTAAGGTATATTGTTTGTAGAATTGGGATTATTTTATTATTATTATTATTATTCTAAATATTTTTAATTTTTAATTCCTAATTTATTTTAAATTATGCTTTCTGATATTTTAATTTCTGTTATAAATACCTTTTGTAAATTCCGAGAATTCGTTAGTTTTATTTATTGAAATGTTCTCTAATCTGTAAAATTTATATTTCTTGTAGCCTTCGTTAATTTTTGTTGTGTAATGAACACAGCAAAAAATTTGGGGATAATTCACTATCTTTTCTTGATGAACATTACACTTTCTGAGAAAAGTACTTTTCCCCAAAAATTTGGTGAATATTTCTTAAAATTTAGTGAAAATTCAACAAAATTTTAATGAATATAATTTTCCCCAACAAGTTGACAAATACTCCGCAGTTTTTAAGGAATACTTTTTTAAAATTTACGAATATTCACTTACTTTTTAGGAAAAAACATATTCAACAGAAAAATTAGAGAATTTTCGCCAACTTTTTATTTTAATTGCAATTTTTTTTATTTCAATTTATATAATTAAATAACTTCCACTGAAAGCTAAAAAATTCAGCCAAGCTTCTAAAATGATGTTTTTAGAAAAATAATTTATAATAGAATTTTTATTGCCTTCCAACTTATAATAATTAACATTTTTTAATTATAAATTGTATTTATCAAATTTTTTTCTAAAACAGAATTAAAAATTGCGTGGAAATCATTTAGATTTCGAAACGTTATTGTTACACACGTATTATTATCCACTTATCCGAATGTATTCGTTTTATTTCCTACAAGGTATTGTTTTAAAATTCATTGCCCGACATAAAGATTTTTAAGATCAAAACAGATTAAAGAAGAATTCTAGGTTTTTAAGCATTTCAAAAATATGCCACCAAAAGAATGAAATTTTTGTAGTAATTCTATAATTTTATATTCCGCAGTACTTTCAATGGTAGGAGGTCAAAAGTTCCAAAAAGTTATTTTTCCCAAAGGATATTTTTTTCAAAGTATTATTTGTTTTGAAATTCATTCAAAACGATTGAAATTCTTAAGTACTTAAAAGCAATTGGTCACAATTTACATTTTTAAACACTTTTACTCTTTTTGGATCTTTTATTTTAATTTACATTGTAACTTTTCTTTCAGAACTTATTTTTTGGAACTTTTGTACTTTTGGAAAAAACCATCCTTGGAACTAATCTCTTGGAACTTTTGTACCCCAATCCTCTCAATAATATTTTCTAACATTTTCTTACTTTTGCTTCCTTATGATTACACACAATTTTTTTATTAACTGAAAAAGTTATTTCGCCCTTTATGAATATTTTTGAATTAACTGAAGCATCTATTGTATGCTCCATATAATATATTTTACGCTTTACTGAAAATTGTTGACAGATTCTGAATATTATTTTTTCTTTTTTTGTTGCAGTCCCTGAATGGAGCCGAAGGAACCGTTCCACCTGGAAGAATTTTCAAGAAGGTCGCAATTGTTGAAAACTTTTTCGACATCATTCATGCTGTCCACGTTGATCTCGAAGGTCGTCCTGGAAAACATGCGGGTCAGAAAAGGACATATAGAACGGTAAGGAGATGAATTCCTAATTGCTCTCAAGTACACAACTTTTATCGGGTTCTTTTTTTTATTTTCTATGTTGTATACTGCAATTTTGTTATTGCTTCTAGAGAATATTTACTCAAGCGAAGTGTGTGTTTTGCTTTTACGGTATGACATAGTTAAAAAGAGAAATAGAGAGAGGGAGAGAGATAGAAAATTTATTGGCTATAGATCGGTGTCACCACGTGACATGATATTAACCGATTCCTGATGTCTTCCCTCGGGAATGCAATGAGGCATTCAAGCGACCGAACACCCGATACCGCACGTCATCTCACATGTTCCGTTGCACATTCGCGTAAACCACTCTCTCGGGTATCATATCTATATGTTCCTTTTACTCATTCTATTTGCCTCTATCATTCTCCCTCTCTCTCTCTCACTCTCTCTCGACCACGAGTCTCTTTCTCTCCTCAGCATCCAGTGTCATCGTTCTCTCTCTCTCTCTCTCTCTCTTTCTCTTAACCTCCCCGGCTCGGCGCGATCTGCTTGTGATTCAAAACCTCAGGACACTTGTTGCATTGCCTGCTTACTCGTATACACACATATACAATGAAAGCCGTGACGGTGAAACTGTTTTACGTTAAGTCGACGTTACACGGTGTGCGATTCATCGACTCGGGGAATCCCCGCGTCGTATATATTAATCGCTGTCACATCCGAACCAAGAAATTAGATCCACTCGTTTCCACATTTCCCAATTGAGAGAATCTCAATATATACTAAATTGTGGCAATTGAAAAATAATTCCTGTGGTCAATTTTTTTATTATTGAGGGCCGATAGTCTAATTAATGAACCAGATTCAAATCCAGGTTCAAACTCATATCACCAATTTCATACGATTTCATAAGATTCGTACGAAATTCGTACGGTTTTCGTGCGAATTTCCTTCAGAAATCCGTCCAGATTCGTAAAGAATATCGAATTCGTATGAAATTACTATAGTGAAATTCGTGCGAATAGTACCCGGATTTTTTAAAATGAATTTTGAAAAAAAAAATTTTTGTAAATCCGTATGGAAATTTGCACGGAAATTCTTTTGACAATTTCTTCAACAATTTTCGGACAAATTTCCTTACGAATTTCGTACGAAATTCAATCGAATTACGAACGGATTTCTGTTGGTAAATTTTTTGGAAAATTCTGCTCGGAAATGTCAGCAAAAAATTTATTCAAAAATTTTAATCGGAATTTCCATACAAAATTCGTATGAAATTCGATAGAATTACGAACGGATTTATTTTGAAAATTTTTTATAAAATTCTGCTCAGAAATTCGTATGGAATTCCGCACGGAATGTCAACTAAAAATTCCTTCAAAAATTTTCGGCGAAATTTCCATACGAATTTCCGAGCAAAATTTTATAAAAATTTTCCAAAATAAATCCGTTCGTAATTCGCTCGAATTTCATACGAATTTCGTATGGAAATTTCGCCGAAAACTTTTGAAGAAATTTTTAGCTTTCATTTCGTGCGGAATTCCATAGGACATTCTGAGCAGAATTTTGTAAAAAATTTTCAAAATAAATCCGTTCGTTATTCGATTGAATTTTGTACGAAATTCGTAAGGAAATTTGTCCGAAAATTGTTGAAGAAATTGTCAAAAGAATTTCCGTGCAAATTTCCATACGGATTTCCAAACGAAATTTTTTTTTGAAAATCCATTTTAAAAAATCCGGGTACTATTCGCACGAATATTCGTGCGAAAAAACGTTTCAAAACGCCACACGAATTTCACTAGTAATTTCATACGAATTCTATAGAAATTCTGTACGAATCTGGACGGATTTCTGAACGAAATTCGCACGAAAACCGTACGAATTTCTTACGAATCTTTTTTACCTGGGATTACAAATGTCTTTCCAAACCAAGTGCTTTCTAAATTTGAATTAGTAAAAATGTTTATTAATTTGAATTAGTGACTGACTTTTTGCTTTTGAATTAGTAAATTTCACTAATAAATTAGTATAAATTACTGTTTATTTAGTAAATTTTACTAATTCAAATGCAAAAAGTCAGTCACTAATTCAAACTAGTAAACATTTTTATTAATTCAGATTTAGGAAGTGGATTGTGACCATCGGGATCTTACAGATAGCATACTAGAATTCTTATGCAATAATTTAAAAGGGATAAAATTTCAAATTTTATCCCCAGTAACGTAATTTTGTCACCCCGTCACGTATAACCGAGACAGGGTTGCCACAGGTCAGGGAAAAGTCAGGAATTTTTATTAAAAGTATTTGAAAAAATTAAATTTTCAGAATTCATAAGAAAACTTTGAATTTTTGTGTCGTTTTTGTTTTTGCCTCATAAACTATGAAATTACCACTAATTCTAATACAAAACGTTCAATTTTTTCTATTTCTGACAATAATTTCTTTTTAACCCTTTCGTGACTCTGGTGCATATATATACCACTTAAAAAATTTGACATAATTCGGGGGTTTTCGGGGTCACCATTTTTGAGCTTTATGCTAATTTGAGCAATTTTGAAAAAATGTCCGCCATATTGGATCCGACATTTTGAATTTTCAAAATTTTGAAAATCTGACCTCAGATTCGTAATCAGCAACCCCAAAAACCACTGAGTAACAAGTTTCAACAAAATCTAATCGCAGGGTTACTCGGGGCACGAAAGGATTTAATAACTTAATTTTTGAAGAACTATCATAAAATTATTACTTGCAAATTATTTAATGAACAATTTCACTTAAATATTTCAAAATTAATTGCGTTTTTAAAGAGTTGCGTTTATAATTTTTATAAATAGAAGAAATTCAAAAGGTTTTAGTTTGAAGAAAATTTCAATTTTGAATGTATTTAATTAGAAATTTTAAAGAACTTGGATTTTTGAAAAAATTTTAATAATTTAAATTCTTATGAAATTAGTTAAATTTTTTAAAACATATTCAATTAATTATTTAAAGTAATGGAATTATAGAAGGATTTTTGGTAAAAACACTAAAAAAATTGAATTTTGGAGAAGTTACAAATTACAAATTGAATTATTTTCAAAAGTTATCAAATTCTTAGCAGTAATTCAATTATGTTCAAAAATTTCAAAAAATTCTCGTAAAAATTTCAATTATCTTCAAAAATAATGAAGCTCTTCTCTAAAATTCAATTATTTTCAATCTCCACTACTTTAATATAATTTTCGAAAAGAATTCAATTATTGAAAAGAAAATTAAATAAAATTCTACGCAAACATTTAATTATTTTCATAAATAACAAAAATTTCACAGGAATTCAATTATTTCCAAAATTTTGTGTAAATTTCTTTTCAATAATTCAATTATTTTCATAAATAATAAAACTCATTGCAGAATTTCAATTATTTTTATTACAATTTTAATCAAATTCCTCGAAAAATTTAATTATGTTATTTTTATCAATATAACAATATTCATCACAAGAATTCAAATATTTTCAAAAGTAATCAAACTATTCGCTGAAATTTAATTATTTTCAATAATTTCCAAAAAATTCTTTTCAACATTTCAATTATCTTTGTATAAATAGCAAAATACTTCTTTAAAATTCAATTATTTCCATCATAAATATTTTCTTCAAAAAATAAATTGTTTCAAAATTTGTTATAAAATTCTTCGCAACAATTCAATTATTTTCATAAATAATAAATTTCTTTTTAGGAATTCAATTATTTGCATAAATAATAAAACTCATTTTAGAATTTTAATTATCTCAAAAAATGTAATTGTTCTTAAAATTTTTATTAAAATTCGTCGAATTAATTCAATTATTAAAATATTTGTTGATAATATTGTGTATAAGAATTCAATTTTAAGAATCTTTCAATTATTCAATAAATTATATATTTTTTATTTAAATAATTGAATTCTCGTAAAATTTTCCAATAAAAATTGATTTAAAAATGAATTTTAGTTAAAATTTTAGATAATAATTGAATTTTTAAAAGCATTTTAGCATGAATTTTTAGAAATAATTGAATTTTAAAAAGGTTTTAAATTGGAATCTTTCAAAATTTGAATTTTGAAAGATTTCAATTTAAAATCTTTTTAAAATTATTATTACCTATTCTGTAGAATTAATTTTTTTAAAAAAGTTTAATTTAATTTGTTTTTAAAATTTTTTGAAATTTTTAATTTCCAATGTATATTTAATTGAAGAATTTCCGAATAATCGAAATTTCTGGTAAAATTGAATTATTGTCAACAAATAGATTTAGAAATTCTCAAAGAACTTTTTCAAAAATTATTGAAAATAATTGATTTAAAGAAGAATTTTTGTTAAAAATTTTAGAAAATAATTGATTTGAAATGATGAATAATAATTTTATTACTTGGTCATCTTTAATCTTCATGTCTTATAATAATATTCTTCTAAAATAATTAATTATTTCTTTCTAAATAATTCTTCTAAATTATTGAATTTCAAAAAGGTTAGAATTTGAATGTTTTAGATAATTTTAATTTCTATGGAAAAATAATAATTAAATATATATTTAAAATTAAGTTCTTGTTGTTTTCGAATATTTTTTAATTAAAGAAATTGATAAATAAATGTAATAGAACATTTTTTTGAATATCTAATCATTTTTAGAGTAAATGACAAAATATTCTTTAGGATCAGGAAAAAAGTTAAAATTTTGTCTGGAAATCAGAGGAAAGTGAGAGAAAAACAAAATTATATTTTTGTGGCAACCCTGCGAGAACCGCGACATCTCCGTTTTCTTCCCACTCGCCTTTCTTTCATTCTTCCTACAATACAACTGTGAATTCAAAGCTCAAGTGTAAATCTCATGATATATGTTACTCCTACACTCTCTTATTTAAACATAAAATTTAAACTCCGACTATTTCCTGAATTATTAATTATTCCCCTTGTTCTTTGTCACTTCTGTAGGTAAAGAGAAAAATGCAGTATTAGAAAAAAGATTTATTCTTTGTTTCAGATTACAGAAACGTACGCCTTTTTGCCCCGAGAGGCCGTCACTCGATTTCTCCTCGGCTGCACGGAATGTCAACGACGACCAAGAACGCCGAGTCCCAGCAATCTGGCGAATCAATCGCATGCAAATGGAATTCCAACATCGTCAATATCAACCGTGACAACATCAATGTCATCATCGTTAACAATGACAACAGCAGCGACACCATTGAGTCCAACATCCGCCACTGCCTTGTCAGCGACTCCATTGCAAACTACACTCAAAATTCGTGAAGCCAGTCACGCACCGGACAAGAATCTCTTCAACTACAGGCACCCGAAGCATCAAAAAACGCTAATTTTGGAGAAGAAGGAGAAAAAGGAGAATAAGGAGGAGATTAAGGATCAGAGGGAGACGAAGGAGAGCGATGATGTGAAGGAGCGGAAGGAGGAGGAATCATTGAGGGAGGAGAAAGTGAAGGAGGAGAAGAGAGAACCAAAATACAAGGACGAGAAATACAATCCCTTGAGTATCACGAATTTACTCAAGAAGGAGCCGACATTCAGCAATAGTGGTTCTGTGGCAACAACCGAAAATCTACTCGAGTCACGAAGAACACCGGAATCGGATAGAGCAAGTTCCCGGAGTTCGGCGTCGTCAAAGTGGCGGAGGATGTTGCCCGAGGGACGTACACCATCGCCACAACCCTCACATCCACTGGCACGACCATGGAGTCCGGGATTAGATCCAAAGAACACGCCAATTGACTACAGTCTTCCCATCACTACCACGTACCTAAAGCATCAGCAGAGAATTCTCGCCGAGCAAAATAAAAAGCAACCGACAAGGGAGGAAATTGCGATCCAAGAGTTACGCAACGCGGCTGCAGCGGCGGCGGCAACCATTGTCGAGACGGAGAGCATGGAGAACGAGAGGTTCTCCCCGGCAGCGGGTCTAATCGATACCAATCTCAATCTACTTGCGACCATTCAACATCTTCACTGTCAAGTCATGTTGGCATTAACCGAGAGACTCAAACCCTCCACAATGATGCCCACGCCGCTCACTCTTCCCGGGCCCAACACATTTATGCCGACCACAATTCTTGGACATAATCCCATTATTGGACATAATCCACTTCTTGGTCCCGCGTCAATTATTGGCCACAACTTTCTGATACCGGCGAGTCATAATCATTCCTGAGGGACGATTGCACTTTAAATATGCCGAACCGGCTCCTGAAAGACGTTAAATAAATATGGGTCGACTTAGGTGTGCCCCATATGGAAACTACAGCTTGGGAAAGACTTTGGAAAACAAATGCCGAAGCTATTTTCAAGGAGACTGCAAGCAGACACTAAACTTCATGGAATTGCCCGAAGATATTCGAGAGAACTGAAGTTATACTTCAAACAAGACTTTATTAAAGTGTGTTCGGAAAAGAGATTGCGAACCTATTCTGCAGTAGTTGTTGTAACAAGTAAATCTATGCAAACTGGACTCACCGATTTCGTTGAACCGAGGTTTTTCTTTTAGAATATGGAAAAATATTAGATATGTATTTTGTTTTTAAGCCGAGGCCAAATTTAGAAGCCACACATATAGAAGAGTGAATAATTTTAACGTACATTCAAATTCAAGTAGTCAGATTATAATGAATAGCAAATGAACAATTACTAGCAATGAAAAAAAGTGTTAAGAAAATGTGACTATTGAATAATATTCAGGGTTGCTACAGATCATAAAAATCAGAGAATTTAAGGAAAAGTCAGGGAAAGTAAAGTTGGTCAGCAAAATCAGGAAAAAGTCGAAGACTTTTATGAAAAGTACTGAAAAAAATGTAATTTTTATAATTCATAAAAAAATTCTTAATTTTTGTGTCTTTTTTGTTTGCTTCATAAACTATAAAATTACCACGAATTCTTATTCAAAACCTTCAATTTATTCTATTACTGGCAACAATTTCTTTTTAAATAACTTAATTCTTGAAAAACTGTTATAAAATTATTACTTATCAATTATTTAATGAAAAATTTTACTTAAATGTTTCAAAATTAATTGAATTTTAAAACAGTTGCGTTTACAATTTTTATAAATAGAAGAACTTCAAAAGCTTCAGTTTGAAATTTCAAAAAAATTCAATTTTTGAATGAATTTAATTAGAAATTTTAAAGGACATAGATTTTTGAAAAATTTTAATAATTTCAATTCTTCTGAAATTAGTTAATTTTTTTAACAAATATTTAATTAATTATCAAAAATAAAGGATTTATAGAAAAATTTTAGTTAAAAAACTAAAAAAATTAAATTTTGAAGAAGTTACAAATGATTGCAGAAATTCAATTATTTTCAAAAATTTTAATAAAATTCTTCTCAAAATTTCAATTATTTTCAAAAATTTTCCCCATTTCAATAATTTTCAATATCTACTAATTTAATTAAATTTTTCAAAAGAATTCAATTATTTAAGAAAAATGTTTGATAAAATTCTAAGCAAACATTAAATTATTTCCATGAATAATAAAAATTTAACAGGAATCTTAATAAATATTAAAATTCTTTCCTGAAATTAAATTAATTTCAAAAAAATTTTTTTTTTAATTCTTGTCAACATTTCAATTACCTTTATAAATAGCTTAGCAAAATTCTTCACGGAAATTCAATTATATTCAGAAATTTTTATAAAATTCATTATTAAAATTCAATTATTTTCATAAAAAACAATATTCATCACAAGAATTCAATTATTTTCAAAAATTCTAAAAAAAAATTGTCATCAACATTTCAATTATGTTTATAAATGAATATGAAAAATCGTCTAAAAAATTTAATTACTTTCAAGAATTTTAATAAAATTCATTGCAAAATTCAATTATTTTCATAAATTTTAAAATTTTTTTAGGAATTAATCATAAATAATGAAATCATTCGGAGGATGTTAATTATTTTCAAAAGTAATAAAATTCTTCACAGAAATTCAATTATGTTCAAAAATTTTTTAAAATTCTTATCAAAATTTCAATTTACTTTAAAAACTAATAGCATTCTTCTACGAAATTAAACTATTTGAACAAAATTTTGATAAAATTCTAAGCAAACATTAAATTATTTCCACGAATAATAAAAATTTCACAGGAATTCAATTATTTACAAACTTTTTATAAATTTCTTCGCAATAATTCAATTATTTTTATATAAATAATAAAGTTTTTTACAGAGATACAATTATTTTTATGAATAATAAAACTCATCATAGAATTTCAATTTTTAAAATTTAATTTTAATCGATTTCCTCGAAAAATGTAATGAAAATATTAAAAAATGAAAATATTATTAAAATTCGTCGAACAAATTCAATTTTTTAAAAATTTGTTAATAAAATTCTTTATGAGAATTTAATTTTCAGAAACATTCAATTATTCAATAAATTATTTACTTTTGTATTTATATAATTGAATTCTCGTAGAATTTTCTAATAAAAATTGATTTAAAAATGAACTTTAGTTTAAATTTTAGATAATAATTGAATATTAAATGCATTATAGCATGAATTTTTATAAATAATTGAATTTTGTAGAGGTTTCAAATTAAAATCTTCCAAAATTTTAATTTTTTATCCTTTTAACTAACAATTCTTGAAAAATTAATTTTTTTGAAAAAGTTTAATTGAATTTTTTTTGAAATTATTTATAGGTTTTAATTTCCAAATAATTAATTAAAGTATTTTCGAATAATCGAAGTTTCATAAAATTGAATTGCAAACAAATGGAATTGTATATTCTCAAGAAACATTTGCAGGAATTATTAAAAATAATTGATAATTGATTTGTTTTGAAGAATTTTAATAAAATTTTTAAAAATAATTACATTTTTCAAAGAATTTACTTAAAATTGTATTTAATTACATTTTTTAAAAAAATAATTGAATTACTGCGTGTAGAATGTTATTATTTATGAAAATAATTGAATTCTTGCAACGAATGTTTTACATTTTTTTTAAATAACTAAATTCTTTTGAGAAATTTTATTGAAATAATAGATTTTGAAAATATTTTAATTTCAGCGAAGAATTTCATTATTTGTGAAATGTAATTGACTTCTTGCAAACAATTTTTGAAATTAATTTCATTTTTGGAAGAATTTCTTTAAAATTGTATTAAAAATAATTGAAATCCTATAAAAAATTTTATTATTTATGAAAATAATTGAATTCTTACACAACGAATGTTTTCGTATAATTTTACAATTAAAAAAATTCGTAAATAAATGCAATAGAACATTTTTTTTGAGTATCTAATCATTTCTAGAGTGAATCAAAATATAATATTCTAAAATATTTTATATATTCTAAAAAGAAGCCTTGGTTCAGAAAAATCGGTAAGTTCGGTTTCCGAGATTTAATTGTAATAAAAGTCCAACTACGACTGAATTATTTAAAAGAGACTGCCGGTTACTTTTCACAACATGTAATTAAAAATAAATAATCTCGACGAAAAAATCCTTTCTTTAAAATGCCGAAGCAACTCCTAAAAAAAGGGCCGAAGCTAATTGTAAGAAAATTCTGAAGCTTTTTATAAAAAAGGAAAGCTCCTCAAAAATCCAACTTTTTAACTTTCTGAATGTGATTGTAGATCGAGGGAAAAATATTTAAGGATATAAATTTTTCCACAATTTTCTCCTAATAAACTCTAGAGTTATACTGTCTAATGAAAATATTTGCTTTATCGAAACTTTCAGCTTTACTGCAAAAAAGACAAAAATAACAAAAAATCCTTTATTCTTCTATAACGCACATAAAATTATGCGATTTACTTTTGTAAAATGAATATTTTCTTATTTATTAATATTAACAAACTAACAATTGATTTCGTTTGGTTCAAAAACCGCGATTCAAAAATGCGCGTGCCTTTAAAAAAACAATTTTCTTTCCTCATTTTCCAATTTTTGGCAAACAATTTGAATTTTTGACGATATAATTATATTTAAAAAAAGAAAAATTAATAAAAAGTATATATAAACTACGTTTAATTTACCAATTAAGGAATAAATAAATATTAAGAAAAACAAGTAAATTTTCAAAAAAAAAAAAAAAAAAAAAACGTAGTACAATAGAAATTAGGGCCTTAAAAAATGTGCTTACGTGAAATGTTCTAGAAGTTCGATATTGTTGTGAAAGTAGATCCTCCGTTTAAAATTTATATATTAAATATATATATATGGAGGAGAAAAATAAAAGTAATAAATTAACAATTAAAATTTCGAGAGAAAGGAATCGCGACAATTATTTTGTACATAATCGTTGTAATATAGCGAAAAACTAGTTTTTAAGGTCGAGGTACAATTAAGTTATTGTCGTCGCAATTGTAAGATTATTGTTGTGCTATTAACGTTATTATGTTTAAAATTGCACCCAGGAGAGGAAAATATACGCAACAGATAAAAACACCTGACTCTTTGTCTCTATCAAAACCTTTTATTAACCAGTAAACATTCCCTCTCCAATTATATCTTCATTGTTACCAATATAAACATTATTTTTTTCAAATAAAATAAGAAACAAGTCTATACTTAACTATAAATCATAGTTTTGCAGTTAAAAAAATTAATTTTAAATCTCGTGGTTGCTTTAGAAGAAACTTTTTTTAATTTTGAAAATTTTTTTTCTTCACTTTCGAATTACTAATATTATGGATAAATGAAAGTAATTTTTTTATAAATGTAAAATGGCTAAGAGAATATAAAAATTAAAATTTTCAAAGATTTTAATTTGAAACCTTTTCAAAATTCAATTATTTCTAAAAATTCACGCTATAATGATTTTAATATTAATTTATTATCTAAACTTTTAAATTATACTCATTTTTAAATCAATTTTTCTTAGAATATTCTATGAGAATTCAATTATTCAATATAATAAATATATTTTACAAAAATTCTATAACTATAATTTAAAACATTCTTTAATGGAGGTTGCAAAGTTATTAAGATTTTATATAAAGCTTCAATAAAAAATTGCATCGTCTTTAACATTCCTTTAAATATGAAATTCAATTCTAAAATAAACATTTGTTATAATGATGACAAAAGTATTTAGAATCTATTAAGATTTATAATGAAGTTATCAATCCTCCAAGTCAATCAATAAATAAAAAGGAAAAAAAGAAAAAACAATCCCTTTAATGTAAAATTATAAATAAAAAAGTCACAAAAATTAAGCATGAATAATATTAACAAAAATAACAAAAACAAAAAAAATAAAAAAAATTTACAGTAAAAAGAATTTTTTTTAAATATTACAATGACATGGTACGAGCGTTTGCACTTTCGAACTCAACTAAAAAACTAAAAGGCGAATAGAAATTTAACAAATGAAATTCAATAATATCAAATAGGTATTTATTTTTTAAATAGTGAATGAAGTGAAAGGATAATACTGGTAAAAAATACATGTAAACAAAATTAGCACTGAAAAAGCATTGAAAAATTTAGTAATTTTATTTTGTTTCAATCTACAAATAGATCGATTTTTCAATATAAATTTTCACAATATCACGACACTTTTTTTTATTAGAAATACGTCTGCAGGTGTAGCTTCACTTTGCTGCCATATACGTATTCCAAAATTGTTTTAAAGTAAGACAAAGATTGAGAATAGGAACATTTTTCTGGAATCATCAGTTGCTTATTCGATTCTGAATCTGCGTCTGGAGAAGATTCGTGTATAGCTGAGTCCGCAGCTCTTCATCTGAAATCAGTTTCACAATTTAAAAATTATAGTGGCGCTCAAAACATAAACTGTGAAAAAACCAATAAAAAAAAATGTGTTCATTGCACAAATAGACGCTTCTGATCGACTTCGTATTTGCACAAAAAATACGTTTGGTGATGACACAAAAATTATCATTCCTAAAAATCCGTAATTTTTTATGTTAACATCTAACTTAAAATTTAACAGAAAGC